CTACTAACAGAGCAGTATAGGTTGGCACCCGGAAACTGCACCTGGGCTGCCAAAGCAGAACACTCTGAACTTAACCATTAGGCCACTGGGGCTGGCCCAATTTAGGCTTCTTGAATCAGTAAATTGGTGTATTTCATCAGTTCTGGAATTTGCTTAGCTTTTATCTCGAATATTACCTCTGCCCCATTCTTTCCTCTTCTGGGACTTCAATTCAATGTAAATCTCAGTTTGTCCTTTCTTTCTTTGTTTTTTTTTTTTTTTGGAGGAAAATTAGCCCTGAGCTAACTACTGCCAATCCACCTCTTTCTGCTGAGGGAGACTGGCCCTAAGCTAACATCCGTGCCCATCTTCCTCTGCTTTATACGTGGGATGCCCACCACAGGATGGCTTTTGCCAAGCAGTGCCATATCTGCACCCGGGATCCGAACTGGTGAACCCCAGGCCTCCGAGAAACGGAACGTGAGAACTTAACCGCTGTGCCACCGGGCCGGCCCCTGTCCTTTCTTTTCTTAACGTCTCTTCTGTGTTTTCCATGATTTCGCTCTTTGTGCTTCCTTCTTGCTAACTTCTTGTATCTATATTCCAGTTTCCTTGTATACTCTACATTTCTGTCTGAGCTGCTGTTAAACCTGAGTTTTTGTTTGTTTGTTTGGTTGGTTTTTTTGAGGAAGATTAGCTTGAGCTAACATCTGTGGCCAATCCTCTTCTTTTTGCTGAGGAAGACTGGCCCTGAGCTAACATCCATGCACATCTTCCTCTACTTTATACGTGGGACACCTGCCATAGCATGGCTTGCCAGGCAGTGCCATGTCCGCACCCAGGATCTGAACCGGCGAACCCTGGGCCACCGAAGCAGAACGTGTGCACTTAACTGCTGCGCCACCGGGCCGACCCCAGACCTGAGTTTTTAATTTTAGTAATTTTATTTTCCAGTTCTAGAAGTGCTGTTTGTTCCTTTCCAGTTCTGCATCCCTTAAAAATTCCTGTTCCTTGTACATCTTTTCAGGCTTGTCTTTTATTTCTCTTTTACATAATAAGCATAATTTTACAGTATGGGTCCAATAATTCAAGCATCTGAAGTTTTGGGGAATATCTGTGTCCAATCAGGAAAACAGAAAACATTTAGATGTTTCAAGCAGAGGAAGATTTAGTGAAGTATTTGATTGGAAAAGTGCTAGAAGGGTCTGGGGTGGAGGGCATGTTACCTGGTTGCTCCTGGGCTAGCCGCTGGAGGCATGGCTGCTGCCACCTGAAATTTCCTGCAGCTGCAGGCTGTGTTTGCCTGCCTCTGCCCTTTCCCATTCCCTGTTAATTTCCCACCAGTGCTTCCCTTTGGAGCAAATAACAAGACTGCAACTGGCCAGGAGCCTTGTAAATGTAGTTTTCAGGCTCTAACCCTCTGCAACAAAGGCAGAGAAGAGCTGAATACCAACAGACGGAACCTGGAACAGATGGCATACATCTGTTGTTTTTGCTGTTGGTTCTTGCTCCTAGAGTCTTGTTTGTCTGTGTGCCTGCTTATTTTTGGGTACTGACACTTCAAAATTATTTGGAATAAATTGAAGCCTTGAGGCTTTTCATTTGCTTGTCAGATACCTTGGAGTCCTGTCTGAGATATGGGATTACAAACACAATTGAATACTAGGACTCTCTTAGAGTTCAACCTAGTAGAAATGAGGATCTTAAATTGTCTGGAGGGCTGGCCCGGTGGCATAGCTGTTAAGTGTGCATGTTTCACTTCAGTGGCCTGGGGTTTGCTGGTTCGGATCCCGGGTGCGGACATGGCACCGCTTGGCAAGCCATGCTGTGGTAGGCATCCCACATATAAAGTAGAGGAAGATGGGCACGGATGTTAGCTCAGAGCCAGTCTTCCTCAGCAAAAAAGAGGAGGATTGGTGGCAGATGTTAGCTCAGGGCTAATCTTCCTCAAAAAAAAAAAATTGGAGACCTAGTTTTTCACTTTAGTAACAATTGATTGGTTATTAATGCTGCAATTGTTTCCTTGAGTCAGCGGATACGTAAGCTCCGTCTTTGTGTTACATGCTGGAGTCAGTCAGTGAAGAGAAACAAATTTCGGGGATGGTTATATACTTATGGGGAATACAAACTTATGTCATGTATACTGTTGGAAAGTGATAAGTTTTATGGATAAATAGAGCAGCAAAGGGAAATTGGGAATGTGGATAAGAGGACTGCACTGTCAGATTGTCAGTGAGAAGGTGACATTTGAATGAAATGAGCCAGAAGGACATCAGCTGAAGAGTAGAGCCAGTGCAAAGGCTCTGAAAAGGTTGGGGAAGGAGGCTGGGGGGAAGAGGAGCAGATTGAGTAGGGCCTTGTAGGACCTTGTAAGGATGCTGGTTGAAAGTGAGCTGATGGAGAATTCAAAGGAATGAAATGATCTGACTGCTGTTTGAAGAGCATCACTCTGGCTTGAGTGGAATGCATTTTCCTTCTAATTAAGTAAAAAAATTAATTGAGTTTTCAAGAGCAAATGATGTTTACATGATTGTATGTTAAGTTCACTCAAGAATCATTTAGCACCTACCATGAGCGTAGTATTTCCTGTGTGGATCATCTAGGCTATAAGTGAGTGAATAAAATGGTGGTCACCTTCTAGGATCTGAAGCAAATAAAATTTTATTTGCTACATGTGACAGTTTATTTATAAATGGTCATTCTTATGCAGTCTTATTTCTTATTTTGATGACCTGTATTTAATGATCAACTCAAGGAGTTAGCATTGAGATCTTAAAATTATTCTCCATGTCACTTATAAGTATAATGCTCGTGAGTCATGGCTCTCATCTCATTTTTGTTTTCTTTCTAACTAAGAGACCTTTAAATGGTTACGTATATATGATGTAAGACTATATATATGTTCATCTGCTTTGGAGCCATTTTGACTGTTACGGTTGTTTTTCATAAAGACAGCTACTTTGAGTCTTAAAGTACCATTTTTAAATCTCCTGAAAAGTTTTTATATCTGCCCCAACGGTTTTATATCTGTTCCACCTAGATGGGACAGAATTCCTAGGTCACAGTGTTAAGAACTCTAGCAGAGAGTTGGGGACCATCACTGAGTATGTGTTCCTCAGTTATACTTTTGTACTGCGGAGTGTTTTGACAGTTCCTAGATATAAATAAAAGAGAAGGAGAATTAGTGGGTAATTTAGTCTCTGAATAATCAGTCACTCTAGTGCTTTAATAGAAATGTAGGCGGGGAGGAGGGAGTGCAGAGTTTCCCTCCCATTTCATTTATTTCCACATTTTGTTTTTAAATTGAATTTAATTAAAATGGGCCAGCCACATACCTGACTTAGGCAACAGCTTGTCAGAAGGAAAAAAAGGGAAAATAAGAAATTCAGATAAGCCTTTGCTGTTGGTATTGATGTAGTAGTTATTTGTTTGGATATTTTATTATTTTACTTTTTATTGAAGAATGAACATACAAAAGTTATCAAGATATAAATGTACAGCTCAGCGAGTCATTTCAAAAACAAATATCCACCTTTTATACATTAATGGTGGGAATGTAAAATGGTGCACCCACTTTGGAAAAGAGTTTGGCAGTTCCTCAAAAAGTTAAATAGTTACATATGACCCAGTAATTCTACTCCTAGATATACACCCAAAGGAGTTAAAAACATGTGTACACAAAAACATATGCAAGTGTTCATAGTGGCATTATTGATAATAGCCAAAAAATGGAGACTATCCAGATATCCCATTATCTGATGACTGGATAAACAGAATGTGGTATATCCATACAGTGGAATACCATTCAGCAATAAGAAGGAATGAAGTATGGATACATGCTACAAGACGGGTGGACCTTGAAAACATACTGAGTAAAAGAAGCCAGTCTCAAAAGGCCATATCATTCTATTTGAAGTAAATGTCCAGGGCCAGCCCCGGTGGCCTAGTGGTTAAGTTTGGTGTGCTCTGCTTTGGTGGCCCAGGTTCAGTTCCCAGGCGCACACCTACACCACTTTTGTCTGTCAGTGGCCATGCAGTGGCGGTGGCTCACATACAAAAAGAGGAAGATTGGCAGTGGATGTTAGCTCAGGGCAAATCTTCCTTTAAAAAAAAAGAAATGTCTGGAATAGGCAAATCCGTAGATCAGTGGTTGCCAGGACTGGAGATAGAGTGGAGGGATAAGGAATGACTGCTAATTGGTACGAGATTTCTTTTTGAGGTGATGAAAACATTCTGGAATTAGTGGTGTTGATTGCACGGTTCTGTGAATATACTAAAAATCACTGAATTATGTACTTTAAAAGGGTGAATTTTATGGTATGTAAATTATGTCTCAGCTCAGTTAAAAAAAAAGCACACATCCATGTGTATTTAACCACCCAGGTTAATAGAGAATGTAGACAATGCCCTAGAAGACTCCCCCTCCATCTTCCTCCTAATCAATGCCCCTAGTTATTCTTGGGGGAAAAGATAGCAGCTGTTTCTGCTGTTGCTGTTTGCCTCTCAGAAGGAGCCATTGTTTTAGACTAAGCATCAGGCTTTATGCTCTCAGCACGTGCCAGGCCTAGTAGGGAACTTTTTGTAAAGTACCATTTTAATCAAATGCTTCTTTGTGATTTCATGGGGCCAATGTGACCTACCTTTTGAAATAGGTAGCTACACACTGTTGTTCTTTTTTTACGGAAATAATGAATTTAAAGTTTTTAAAGATTTTTTTGAAGTAACTTTTTTTCAAGTACCATAGATATCGTTAGCCTGATCTCTTACTTCATCAGTAGCATGGACTTTATTAACTATTAAATACTTTTTATTTTACCTGCCTCATGATAGCTGCACACCCACACTAGAGATAGGGGTTATTAATATTCTCTTTGAGGGGAGCCAGATTAGCATTAATAGTTCTTTTATTCTGCATATCATTTCTGATCTTAAATTTTAAAAGAAACTACCCCTAAATGTTTTTATATGCTTTTACATATTTTCAGTGCAAGTAAGGTCAGTGTTGATGTTTTGCTTTTCAGCGATGTCCTGGCATTGCCCATTTTCAAGCAGGAGGATTCCAGCCTTCCATTGGATGATGAGACTAAGCACCCACCTTTTCAGTACGTGATGTGTGCTGCAACATCGCCAGCAGTAAAACTGCATGATGAAACGCTCACTTACTTGAACCAAGGTTAGTGTGGCTGTGTCAGATTTTGATGTAAGAATTTACAAAAATCTGAAATAAATGTTTTGGCACTGTAGCCAAGATTACTGTAATAATTTAAAATTAGATTCTTTTTCTTACATTTTCCAACTTTAGTTAACAAAAATTGTAGGAATTTTACAGTTGAGCCAACAAAGTAATAGTTTGTGGAGACTGATTTACATAAAGAGGGTCTGGAACAAGATTTATTACAGGATTTTTCAGACAGAATCCAAAGGAGGAGCAAGTAGGAAAGGATGTCAGTTATTTTTAGGAACAGTGGTTTCAATATGGAACTTGAGAGTGAATCGGAAGTCCAGCTATCGAGGAGCCTGGGTCTCAGGCATGAAGCAGGTTTGTGCTGAAAATAGACATGAGCTGCAGCAAGATGGAGTCTGTGGCTAAAGTAAACCTTGTCAGATTTTGTCTACCCATGTCTTCTCTGTGTTCTAGAAGAATAGTATCTTTTGGTGATGTGCAAGTGAGAATGGGCAGAATGGAAAACAGCTGTGGGGGTAGACTTTACCCTTGGGAAGGATGAGGGGTTGTTTTAGGTGCTGTTAGCAGTTTGGACACAAGCCAATGTGACCTACCAATGTAAACAAGAGTACTTTGTTATGCAGGAATTAATTTGTTGGATCATTTACTGAAAGCATGTTGAACTCTTATTTTGTAAAAAAATTGAAGATTCTTATTGTTAGAAAAGTAGTGTATACTCATTGTAGAAAAGTTGGGAAATATGTCAAGGGATGAAGCTGAAAATTGCCTGCAGTTGCATCCACCAAGAGAACTAGTTCACAGTTTAGGTATATCTCCTTGTCTGTATATCTATTTTATTTCAACAAAATTGGAATTAATGTCTATTCACTTAGGAGTGTATTGTGATTATCTTTCTGTCATTAAATGGAATCTTTAATTCCTTGAACTTTTAGAAAGAGCTATAGATTTTAGACTCTTTGTGATTAATATTCTGAAATGGGGAAGAATAACTTCTAACCTTTCATTTGAAAAATAAATTTAGAATCTATGAAGTTTTACTTCAGGTAATTCTATCTGTAGCACCTATGGCAATACCCTAACGTTATTGTTAACGTCAATTTAGTATTGGTTTGGGGAGGCATTCAGATATTTGAGACTTAAGTTTCACATTTGAAAGAACTTTAAGAGTTTACGTGGTAATCTGTTTTAGACCTAAAAATATCAGAAGAAACAATGTAGGGGCAAGGATATTCACTGTAGCTTTATTTCTAATGACAAAAAAGGAAATAACCTGAATTTCTCTTACTTAGGGAATAGTTGAATAAGATCTGTTATGTGCATACCGTGGGATGAATGAGTACACACACATACACACACATACCTCTGTTTAAAGGAACATGTTGCATGTATCTGTCTATTGGCTTGGGGAAATAATCCATAATTTGTTACTATTATTAAGCTGCATAGCAATATTTCATATTGAGAAAGTGGCAATCTACCATCTCTAGTGATGATACATTATACTGACATTCACTGAGTGTTTACTGTGTATGAAGCATTGTACTAAACTATACATGTGTTATCTTATTTAGTTCCCACAATAAACCTAGAAGTTTTATTAAGCCACTTTACAGATGAAAAAAAACTAAAGCTTAGAGCAGTTGATTAAATTGTTCAGTATCAGTTTGGTCAAGCTTAGATTTTTTAAAAAATTATTGCAGTATATACAGTAGTATGCACAAGTCTGAAGTGTACAGCTCAATGAATTTTTACGTATATTATTCCCATGAAACTACTACCTGTGTCCAGTTTTTCCAGCAGCCTCCCTATGTCTTCCTCCCAGGTGATGCTCCAGCTTGACTATGATCAATATAATAAGTGCAGGTGATTTTCTTGTGGTTAACTCTGCTCACTGCAGTATCAATGATGAGTATTTTCTTGGTTGTAGAATTGTTAGTTTATTTATAATTAATATAAATTTTTTTCTTTTAAGAAAAAAAGTAGAAAAATGAACTGCATATGTAGACATATTTTTTAAAACTTTGATTTGAATAATCACTAAAAATGCATTCGAGTAATAAAAGAATTCTTTTATATGCCTTTTAAAAAGAAATTATAATACCTTTAATACCTGAGTATCAAATATACATAGTGTGTATAGTTCTTTTACATACTTGTCTCGCAGCATTTATCACTTTGCCAAAAGGTTCTGAACCCAAGATTTTCATGAATTCCCTAAAATTTTCAAGTTTTTTATAAATGTACGTTCTCCTAGGAAGAGGATCCATAGCTTTTTCTAGATTCAGGCAAGGTTTGGACCTGACTGAATTGTTGCTGCGTATCTTTCACCTCACCTCCTAAACTGATAAAACAAACGAAGGTCCAGACTTAGCAAAGGATCTTCAGATGCTCAAGCGCACTTTCCCAAAGAAAACATCCTTGACAGTGCATCTGCAGTTTTGACTTTTTACTGAAGCCTTTCCTGCAGTGAATAGTGTAAAGAGAATCAGCTATAGATATAGAAAATAATATTTAGGCTTGATTAGTTTTATCCAGGAATTCTAGTAAAATCCCATGAATATTTTTTTTAGCTAAAGTGACATTGCCATGGAAAGTTCTTGCAGAGTATACCTAGGTGATACCATTTTAGTATAGTAACATCTATGCATCAGCTTTGATGGTGTGACTGTTAGGTATTGACATAATGTACTGTTTACTCTTTCTGTTTTTAGGAATCAGATCGTTATTCAGTTTTAATGCTCACCAATCAGTTTTTCCTGTATTCAGATGAACTCTTCAGCTCTAACCAAGGAAAATGACTTATAATGGCAGTGTTGCCTTGTTCATCAAAAAAGCATACAAGTTTTTTTTTTTTCCTGAGGAAGATTAACCCTCAGCTAATATCTGTTGCCAATCTTCAGCTTTTTTTTTTTTCTGCTCGAGGAAGATTAGCCCAGAGCTAACGTCTGTGCCAGTCTTCGTACGCTTTATATGTGAGTTGCCACCACAGCATGGCTGATGAGTGGTGTAGGTCCACACCTGGGATCTGAACCCACAAACCCAGGCTTCTGAAGCAGAGCATGCTGAACTTAACCAGTATGCCACAGGGCTGGCCCCAAGATACAAAAAATTTATAAAGGATTAGATAGGGCATTTGAAGTTGTCATCCATTAGCACAAGTTTTCATTCTGCCTAAGCTTCCACATGTCAGTCTGTTTGCATTCATTCTAACAAATGAGAGGGAAATTAAGCAGTCACTTTCTTCTGTACTACTTGGAAATAATGACAACTAATGAAAGCACAGTTATTCCCATTTTATGATATTAAAGCTTTAGAGGGAGTAAATTTTTCCTACAGTTTTCTATTTAGATTATTGACCATGTTTTTTATAGATAAAGGTTTCAACCCGGAGTTTTCTCATTCCAAATCTCATTTTCTTGACTACCAAGTCTGTTTACTAGAATAGTTCTAATGTTTTCTAAGTTTTCAGTTAATTGTTATCATTTTAAATTTAACAGTTTAAATAGATGATTTATATACATGGTTCAAAACTCAAAAGATATGAAAGGTTGTACAACAAAGTCTTCTTCCCCTGTCACCCAGTTATCAAGTTTTGCTCGCCTCAGATAGCACTGAATTAGAACCATTTTTAAACACCTAAGAAGATTCTAATCATGTTTTATGACAGTCTTTGTATAACAGAAGTATAGTTAATATTTTATTGAATTTATTCTAGTAAACTTATTTGTTCATGTGATGAGTGAATTATATGGTTAATGTAGCTGTGGTGAATATAATGGTCTTGTTACTAAAGGATGAAATTCAAGAGAGAAGTTCCATCTCTGAAAGTAATGTCTAGTAGAAGCTCTCATATGAATGAAATAGAACTGCCCAGGATCTATGCTCCTCTGCTGCGTAGTGGACGTCCTTATGCACATTATTCAAATACCTTTTTCTTCCTTTTAAGTGTTTCAACTAGTTACAGTGACCAGTGATTTAAATGTCTTTTCTGCATTTACTGGGGTGTGAGAGGTAGAAAGAGAAGATTGAGTAGTGGTTATCAGCGGTGTCTGGAGCCAGGCTGCCTGGGTTTAGATCCCATTGCACCACCTGCTAGTTAGGCAAGTTACTTAATTTAATACGCTCCACATAAGGCAGTTGAGAATTAAATTGAGTTAATATATGTAATGCACTTAAATAAACTGGCCGGCGCATGGGAAGCACGACATGAGCCTTTGCTGCTATTACTATTATTTATAACTAAGTAGCTTTAATGATTTCTGATTGTACTGGAAGACCAATTATTTAGACCTTGGTTGATGTGTTAGTTTCCTATAGCGGCGAGATGAGCAATTTTTACAAGTGGTTAGAACACAACCCTGGGATTAGATACCCGTGTGATGACTCAGGAATTTTGCCAGATTTGTTGGAAAGTACAATTATAATCTTTTAAATAAACCTGTGTCAGTTTTGAACTGTAGAAATGGTGTGTTTGCATTGCTTAGCAACTGTGGGAACCTGTTACTATTTTACCTTATATAGCAAAAGAGACTTTGTAGATGTGATTAAATTAAGGGTGTTGAGATGTAGAGGTTATCCTAGATTATCCAAGTGGGCCCAGTGAAATCACAAGGGTCCTTAAAAGTGAAAGGAAGGCAGGAAAGTCAGGAGCCAGAGAGAGATCTGAAGATGCTACGTGCAGCTGGCTTTGAAGATGGAGGAAGGGGCCGAGAGCCAAGGGATATAGGTTGCATCAAGAAGTAGAAAAAGTCAAGGAAAGAGATTCTCCCCTAGGGCCTCCAGAAGGAACGCAGCCCTGCTGACAGCCTGATTTTAGCCCAGTAGACTCATTTTGGACTTCTGAACTCCAGAACTGTGTAATAATAAATTTGTATAGTTTCAAGCCACTAAGTTTCTGGAAATTTGTTAAAGAAGCTACAGGAAACTAACACATTAACCAAGGCAAATGGGTACTACATGGATGATCTCCAGGGTGGTGCGGGATGAAC